CGATATACTGTACACTGTTAATCTGTTAATCATACACGCTTTCCAATGTGTATGAATCTGGTCGGATGTCATGTTTAATCTGATCGACTTTTCTTCTGAAAATCGATTTTGAAATAACAATCATTGAAGACCGACTATAGTTTGATACTTTCATGTACATGTACCGCTGTACACCTCCAAAACATCAGAGGTGGGATCATGTGCTATGAAGGAGTGAGCATCCCCTGCCAACCGGCCACACCCGCCGTGTGCTTCTTGTCATGATCGGGAAAAATCCGTCCTGAATTCGGTGTATAAATAATGGATTAACAATTAGTATGGAAAACCACAGCCAGATTTGACGAAATCATTTCCCCGTCTTTAATGATAATGTTGCAACAAACATGAATTCAACACAATAGTTTCAATTTTAATAAACTTTTGAATGAAAACAGATCTAAAAATATTATTAGATTACTTTCCTAGATTTCCTCAGCATATGAAACCATACGAAGGCATATGATTGTACGTATATAGAAATCAAACTTCATAACTTGAAAAGTATCCATGTTACAGGATAGGAACAGCTAACACGAACATCAATGATCATTCAAACATGGATTACCGTTCACGGTAGTTCAGTCGGTAGGGCGCTAGCTCTATGATGGGGAGGTCGTGATCGAGTTCGTATCTGGGTCGCGACTGACCTAAGTCGATAAACTGGGTAGCAACTGTTTCTTCGCCATGCGCTCGGAACCTTGAAGTGAAAGTTGCGGGTCTTTCGGATGAGACCTTAAAAACCGAGGTCAGCGGCAGGCGTTGGCACGATAAAGATCCCTCACTGCTCAATAACCCTGAGTGCCGAGTAAAGGTCAAAATTTGAAGCCCTTCACCGGCATACAGTGACGTCTCCACAATATGAGTGAAAGATTCTGGAGTGGGACGAATATACAATCAATCAATCAACCATGAATTTATTATAAAGAATTTTAAATTTAATATATTTACGTTATATATTTAAAATATCGTCTTATTCAAGTTTATAAATATCCAAAAATGTAACAGCTGTATCAGACTCTGTGGAATCTTTTATTTCTAGCTTACCGGGATATATCGAACAGAAATAAGAATGAAAATAGCCATTGTTAATTGACAATGCGTCGTCGATATATCGAAATGCCGAGTTCAAGGCCTCAGCAAGTGTTTTCTTCTTTTCATATAAAATATTTTGGACAAAGGCTGCTTTAAATGAATACAAAAGTAGGTCTGCTAATATAGGGGCGCAATTGTACCCATGAGAATTCCAAGAGATCGTTGGAAGACCTGGTCTCCAAAAACCACATATCAGATATTTTTAATCAGAAACACAAATCTGTTTGATGTCAACTTCAGAGTACTTGTGTGTGCAATCAGAGTGTTCTTATAAAAAGAATCTGCAAATGACCAATAAAAAGGTAAGTTTATTTACGAGTTCCATTTACATAAAAAAAGCAGCTGTCAATGATACCAAGAATCATGGACTTTAATTTATCGTCTTGTATGGTTGTGTATAAAATTGAAAAGTTTTAAAGCTGTTGATTTTGGTAAAATCCTAGAAGAATCCACATCTAATTTACACCACTTATCGAATATATTGTTGCAATTCCATATTTTATAGTAGTGCACTGGTATGAGGCCATCAAGTTCAGTGTCACTTTTAGCAAGGGCAGAATGTAGTTGAATGTTTCATGATCAAACCTATAAATATCGACTTAAATACATGTAAAATGTAGCACTGACGCTAAGACAAATTCATGTTTTGTTTTTTTTTAAATAATCAAGTGGTGTAAAGCAACTTCATCTATTAAGGGAATTATATAGTACAGGATTGTTAAAAACGGTAAACGCCGAACGCAAGTTCTTATCAACGTACGACAATTACACTGTTATCTAGAAAATTCTAGCCTTGTACTGCTCATTTAAATTTGTTTTACTTGCATTTGATATGATACGTTTTCGTTTTGGATTATTATTATTTTTAACAAGTGAGTATGCAGTTGTGCCTTTTGACTTGCGATATTTTAAAGTTTCCCCCACATTTCCAAACATCCGTTTCCAAAAATACGGAAAAAATTTCTTACCCTCAACTAAAAATGTGTTTTTTGTAGCTGAGAGTAGGAATATTTTTTTTCTGGATTTTTCTCTTTTTTTTGGGGGAGCATAAAAAATTCAGACTCCTGTGCGTAGAGTTACTATCATGAATATTCGAAATGCGTTTTTATGTTAAGTATTCAGCAAGTGTCTATATTCTCATTTGTAATTTCAACTAATTTCACTTATAAATAAATAAAATATGAAGAAATTCCATGATTTTTCGGATCAACCCTCGTATTAATGCAAAGCATATTTTTGTCATTAACAATCTCAGAAAACACTATAAGCAACTTATTCAGATATAAACGTACATTTTTTTTTATATTAAATGTCATATTTGTTGTTCAGTGATAACAGGGATAACAGGGATTATAACCTGTCCACCGCCATGTTGTAATGTGGGATGTTCTTGTCAAAGAGATTACGATGAAACTATTTTTTGTTATTGTCGTAAGTATCTTTTATTGATATCATATTTATCTTCTTACTAGCTATGAGGACATAAGGAGGTTTAACGTCCTCCAAGACAGAGGCACATAAATAGGAAATAGTTGCTGCTTTGGTATGTTTGGGGGACGATAAATTTGCTATTGGCCGAATAATCTGTAAATACAATGTAGATGTTTTATAACACTGAAGACGACGTCACAATTCGGTTAAAACCAGAATTCCGAGATGAAAGGCGGGGGAACGGAATGTTGCTGGTGATTAGTTTTATGACTTTCTCACCATGGGCAAACAATACAAAATCTTTTCAACGGTAGGGCTGTTTGAAAAACAAAATCAGGTTTATTTTTCATTCTTATATATAACAAAACTCACAGGGGTATAATAAACTGTATTATTATACCTCATTATAAATATTCAACACAACGCGTTATCTAATTGGTTCTAAATTATCACGTGAGCGGGCCGTAACACTTCATATTTCCCGGTCGTAAAAAAAAAAAAAAGACGTTGGCAGGCTTTTCATCATATTCCACCTCTTCGGAACACCTAGTGTATTTTCCCGCAATATAGTTCCTGTTCGTTTAACGAAAACTCCCGAGAGAAGTAAACGTCACAATAGCCTGGTGTACGTCACAAAACTGATGATACTTTACATAATGAATGAAAATGAATTTGAGAGAGGTGCCGAATTTGAAAATTTATGTTTATTTCAAAGGTTTTGCTTGTTTCGGTATAATAAACAATTCATTACATGAATGTTCGCGATACATGAAGAATTTTTCAGCCAAGAAATATCATATTCCCCTAGGGCGAAGCACTCGGGGAATATGATTTTCCTTGGCTGAATAAGTCTTCATATTTCACTCACTATCATGCAATAAATGTATACTATTATATATAGCAAATTGACCTGGTTATACACTGTAACTAAACAAATTCTTCTACTTGAATTGCTATGTGTTTAAAGCCTATATACGTTTGGATAAATTTAACTTCCTTGTGTAAGCAGTTGGTTCTTTAAATATTGATATAACAAAATAAGGTCCTTCATAATAAAAAATAATTGCTGAACTCATTATTCAGGTCCGGACAAAAGTCCAAGGGACATAACTTTGTCAAAAAATGACGCGATCGTACACAAAACAGAACTTGACCTATATATCCATCTGACATAGCTGTAAACTAAATATTTTAATTTCTGTATGTGCAGGGATTGTCAAAAAAATTAACATAAACTAAGTGGACCGATCAGTAGCAAAGCAATATGCCCTCCATTTTTCGAAAGGGGTGGGGGGTGTGTGTAAAATATTTGTTTTTATATTCACATTATTTCTCGTACTTAAAACAAAACAAAACATTATCATTTTATGACATAAATCAAAGTGACTATTTTTGTGAAAAGTGTATTTTAGGATGATAAATTTACTGTAAAACTTTGAAGTAATCTTTCGTTTCTGAAGAATTAAAAAAAATAAAGAATTTAACATTGCACATAAAATTGATAAATGGTGTCTAAAAGTTTAACAAAAAATGCATAATAATTATTACAATGGAAATTGAATTAAAACTTGGGAATTCTGTGTCCGATCCAGGAATCCTGAAAAGGGAAGCAGATGTATTTATAACAGATCAGGCATTTTAGTTTGTTGACTCAGAAACCACGCTAAAGCAACAATTACTAGTAGTTTATGTTTGTGTCAATATGATTCCCAATTATAATGATAAAAATGTCATGTTCTTTAGCTTAAAAGTTTGTATTATCGCCCTCATATCAAAGACAAAAACGTGTAGAAAATTAGATAATTTATATATATAACCGACCTCTGTATAATTTTAAGCAGCTGGGGTTAAACCCGACGGCCAAACCCTTTCGCCTTGGAGTGAATGGACATGTTGCAGTCTCAGTTGTGGTGGTCATGGCATTCAAAGAAGACAAAGACGCTGTGAAGGATGCTGTTCAAATGCTGTTTTGTCAAATTCTCGTACTTGTGGCATGCAGCTTTGTCCGGGTAGAGTAAGGCTAATTCGAAGAGTAAAAGGAATTGGAATCTCAGCAATTGCTATCAGGTGTATCTGTGTCATAATAGGTGCAAAAATACCAGTTCAAGTTTATTATTACAAATATGTTTAATATAAACAGCTCTGATTTTTTATTTACATATTTTATACACTTCTATAATCTTTGATTAAGAACAAGGTAATTCAGAAAATCTTTGTCCCCTGCTGAAGGTACAAAAAGAGAATGCGCTGTCCTTGGGAGATTGGGTACTTTATAAAGGACGGGAGGGGTCATAGGAGTTATTGTGTAAAATTTTAGCTCAAATGCTTTTAGAGATATTGCGTGGAACTGAAAGCCTTACAGAGAGACAGAACTAGACGGACAGACACATCGTCATTAATAGCCCTACTTTCAGCGGGGGATAAGTATCATACCGAGAATGCCGGGTATATGTCTGATTTTGTCACTCTTCATCGGCAATTAGCAAGTTAAAGCATCTTTATATGAAAAGAAAGTACTCGAATATAACGTTTAACAAACCAATAAAGGTTAGACATTCTTTAAAATGATATGAAATATATATAACAAGCATTCTGAAAGTTTGCTTAAGCATTTCCCATACCGCGTTCCCCTTAACACTGCTTATGTTCACATTTTGAGGAAAAATAATCCACACAGAGACGAAAATTCAACGAATTTTGAATCGTCTTTTTTACCATGTTGACCTTTGGAATTGAGCGCAGCACGCACCCGATCTTCCGATCTTAAAACATTATGAACAATTAAAATGCGATATTTCCGTCAAAAATCAATGAAGAAACGATATTTAAACTTGATCTGTAACTCATCAAGATACAATCACATACCGAAATTCAGCTCAATATCTGCAACATTAAAAAAAGGGCGGAAAACCAAGTAGGACAGACTCGCAGACAGACATGTGGACAGACGCATAGGAAACCTATATCACCAGAAGGGGACTTATAAAAAGGCAGAGATTAGATTCGGTTAAATTAATTTATTGTCCACACATTTATGATTTTCAACGAGAAGGGCCCAAGGGTTCCATTTATCAACTTTGAAAACTGATAGTTCTCGACCTCAAAAACTATCTTCCAATAAAATAAACTCTTATTAAAACTGGACTAATCCATATTTTTTTTCTTCTCATGTTTCTAGTAAATGGATCCTGGAGTGCCTGGGGAGAGTACAGTTCTTGTGACAAATCCTGTGGTGGCGGTTGGAAACTACGATTCAGGAAATGTAATTCTCCCGCCCAAGCACACGGTGGAATTCCTTGCATCGGTGATTCTGTAGAACCGAGAGGATGTAATACATTTCATTGTCCAGGTAACGTCATTTGAAACCTTATCGACTACCCATTTTAAGTTTGACAGTACAATATATCGCTAGATTAATGTAATATGATTATTTAGCATCTGCTTTTGATATTTTTTCTATTAATTTTTGTCATACATATTTCTATAATTATAGACAATATAATTGAAAAGAATATGTAAAAGCCTTAAACTCCGGAAATATATACAGGGCCACTTATCTGCAAATAGGTTGAGACATTTAAATCGCATGGATGTGGAATGTAAACATTAGCAAATATGATTTTTTTTCCAGACTACGGAATTTGAATGGAGAAGAGAGAGAGAGAGATCATGCGCATATTTAGAAGGGGGGGGGCGTTCCCCCTCTGGAATTTGCAAGTTATTAAATTTATATAGTAAAGCAAGTAAAAAGTTACCTTGGACCCCCTCGGAATATGCACCCCCCCCCCTTCCCGGTAAACACAAATTTGTGTGAAATTGGTATGAAAAGTCAAAAGTTTGAAGCATTAAAAGTCATTTACAGCCCCCCCCCCCCCCCCCTAGATTTTTTTGAGGTTTTGGCGAGTTTATTTATTTTGCTTGTCAAGAAATTTCTAAGTTCGATTTTTGGGGGACTGGGTTGAACCCCCCCCCCCCCCCCGCCTTGGAAAAAAAATCTGGATCCGCGCCTGTGAGATTGTGTTGTTTTTATGGCGCACAATTAATTAATGACTATTATGTTTAGGGATTGTCCTTTATATTAGAATACACATTCCGTGCAAATAAGACCAATGGCCAAGTTGCGACTTAATGTAAACAATGTCCTTAAAAACTAGTATGCATTTGAATCACAATAGAAATGTGACAAAACTGTTAAACCCGTCTCAAAAGCTAGTGTCGCTCAGCATTATTTAATATACCAAAACCTGCTTTTAAGAAATTGTTTAATATCCATAAAAAATAAATTTTATGAATTTTTGAATTTTATTTTGCGCAAAACACCGAGATCTAACTCTCATAGCCTAAATGCGCTTATTCTATTCTCTGAGTTAAACTAGTCTTTTGAACAGTCAACGATCTCAAAAACAACACTGCCACAGACGAAAATGTATCATAGGACCTTTTGATATATAATTACTTAAGATATTTTCAAAAAAAAAATCTACATATTTGATTAATTTAATGAGTTGTCATAATTGCTTCAATCTGTCAGATTTATCTATTTTGAAATGTTTAATTATCTTTTTGAGCCATGAGTGATACATGTATGTCCAGATGGTCTGTGCATTGATTAATTTAATAATTTCATTATTGTTTATTTAAATTCATAATCTTTAGCTCTGCTTGTAAATCAAATAACTCATGTCTTATTTTAGTCAAATCGACAATCCTCGGCTGACTCCGCTACGCTCCATTAAAACCTCGGATGTGATTAGTGGAGGAATATGCATAAGATCCTTACATTTCTCCGCCGGAAACTGCCTTTATCACTCATTTCATATTTCGCTCTGCATAACGTTCTTCGAAAATGTTTCTTAATTTGTGCAATTTTTTAAAATCGTAAATAGGTTTTGATTACAACTTCATTTAAGTAGGTTTTGAAAGCAAAAACTGTTGAGTGTGCCACAAAATAACGCCGATTTCAAATGTATGACATTTGAAAGAAATTAAAAAAAGATCACGTTACTAAATCAGCAAGATGGTAGAACACCTTTGACGTCCGAGGTCATGTGCGTGGTACGAGCCATTTGAGGAACTCCGAATGTGCGTGGTACGAGCCATCTGAGGAACTCCGAATGTGCGTGGTACGAGCCATCCGAGGAACTCCGACTGATGTTACTCAAAAAAATTATCAATCTTACCTGAAAAAATACAAATTTTTGTTTACATTTGTGGAGTTGGAATCGGGACATACGTGTCCTTGATACTGTCCAACCCCATGAGAAATAAAGATCTGCCAATCGTTATGAGGATTATCTTATCAGACTTTATCAGACTGGCGAATAAGGTACCAAAAATGTAATTATTGAAGCTACAACTGGTTTGTTGTAAGAATTGGTGTAAAAATATCTGGTGTATTTAAATTTACATAAGTAAATAAGGAACGCTAAAAATATTATCAACTTGTAAGATTTGACGGTTTACATTTCACAAAAGAACCAAACATATGACTTTCATCGTGAATAAAAATATTTTATTGACTTTTTCCCCAGTTGATGGAAATTGGTCAGCGTGGCCAGCGTTTGGTCAGTGTAGCACTAGTTGTGGAAAAGGTGTTCAGAACAGAACGCGCACCTGTTCCGATCCAGCTCCTCAGTACGGGGGTCATGGTTGTCATGGGATATCAACTGACAGCAGACCTTGCAGTCTGACAGAATGTCCAGGTATATTAACACATTGAGTATTATAGACGGAGCTAAACAAAGTTCAGTTTCCCGGTTCAGAACTTTAAATACCGGTATATGCTCTAACTACTTATTTATGCTTTTCATGCATGCCATTTAATATATTTTTAGAAATTAGAACATTCACTCGGCGTAATTTTTTTTACATTACTTTTCATAATACAGTTGATGGAATGTGGGGTCAATGGGGTCATTTCCGTCCATGTGACATGTCATGTGGTGGAGGAATACATATCAAACTCCGACAATGTAACAATCCACCGCCATCTCATGGTGGCCTCCCCTGCCCAGGTCATCCAGTGCAAACAGAGGCCTGCAACTCGCAACCATGCCCAGGTATAAAACTTTGTATGTTTATTGGTATTTTCAGAAGAAAAAAATCACCTGTCTGTTAAATATCTTTTAATATCGATTTGCGTCTGATCATATCTTTGATGTTGCTCCGCCTCCAATTTGAAGTTTTGAGCTTGATAGTCTCCATAATTCATTTCAGAAACGTCAACTCCTTGGAATGATTTATTTATAGGAAGATAAAATTTCTGTGAAATTCCAACTATTTTTCATTCATAAAATGGTGCAATTCTGTCAAAAAAATTTGGTTGGAAGCGCAAAACTCTGAAGAGGAAATTGTTTTTAGTTTCGAATGTGTAATAATTAATAAAAAATGATTAATACCAAATGGATGTAACTTGGCACTTGCCCATTTTTTCTGCTTTATTGTTGATTGATTGTATATTTGAGTGACAGATCTCTTTCTCGCCAGCACTGCGACTCGGGATTTCGGTTTACAAAGACTCATCAAAAGAATCAGTCGCTAAGATTTTCTATCAAAGATGTGTTGTAAGAGGAAAAGATGCAAAATTTTCATCGCTTATCCTAACAAAACATAGGGAATTAATAAACTTTTTAAAAAATTTTAAATTTGGTAAAGAGTATATAATTACGGAGAACAATGATAAGGCGATATTGTCAAAAGAGATTTCATCAAAAGAACACATTTAAATAACTAGATGCTGTCATGAGACAGTAATACCCGCACTAAGGTGTTTGCCTCTAAATACACGCTCCTACATATTGGGCGGCTTTCCAAGGAAATAGTCAAAATAATTCTATAATTTACATGTATTCATCAAATTGAGTATGAAATTCTCAGACCCTGTGACCTATAACTCAGAACCTCTTATATTTATTTTATACATGCTTAATTCATTATATACCAGTCTGAATTTTATTAATGATGTAAATTCATGCCCCCCCCTGGAATTTACAAGCCTAGGTTAAAAAATGTATATATTAAAACAAGTAAAAAGTTACAATGGACCCCCCTTGGAAAATGCAGATCCCCCCCAGGGTAAACACAAATATGTGTAAAATAGGTATGAAAAGTTAAACATTTGCGGCAATAGAAGTCACCACTACCCCCACCCCACCCCATGATAAAGGTTTTTGACGTTTGGGTGAGTTTTACTTTAAGTTTTTTTTTTTTTTGATTGTCAATTTCTGGGATAGGATTTTTTTTTTTGACTGAGGTGGAACCCCCCCCCCCCCTGGAAAAAACTTCTGGATCCGCGCCTGAAATTAGATTTTGATATATATGTTTTGCTCATAATAGGACCTTCTTAAATTTACTAACACCCCCCCCCCCTCGACACCACAATTACACAGCACATACTTTTTGGAATAGGCTAGATGGAAAAGGTTTGTTTAAATTTAATATAGTTTGTTATGAATTAATTTAAAATTTGTTCTTGTTCTATACATGTGAACATGTAAATTTCTACATCACATCACGTTGCGTCACCCATTATCATATTTATAGATTAAACACCATTTGGCACACCTCGGCCGATTCCCACTTCATCTGATAAGGTGACGGAATCGACGGAGGTTCGCCAAAATGGCACATGGCTGCAGTCTGGTGTGCATTGGATTAATTCATTTTGTGTTATAATTGGATTTATATTTCATGAAGTTGACGAGACACAGGGAGTCGGTAAGTAGAAGTTTAAGTATAGTGGGGGGGGGGGGGGTAAAATACACCCAAACGATTAGGTTAAAGTTTAAAAAGGGTCAAAGATCATCGCATGCCACACTAGACGAATTTCATATTGTGAAGTTATCTCCCGTTGTCGATGTGACATTCAGTTACTGCCAATACTGGTGCGGATCCAGAATTTTTTTCGGGAGTAGGGAGGGGGGTTCACATCTCAGTCAAAAAATTCCAGCCCAGAATTTCCTGACAAGCAGGAGAAAAAAAATGAAAACAAACAAATAAAAAAACAATGATAGTGAGGTCAAAGTTTATAGGGAGAGGATGTCAAGAGTCATTTTTTACTAGCTACAGTATATAGTCTTGTTTAAATAACAAAGCAAATGCCAGATGGGGGGGGATGGGGGGATTCCAATCTCCCTACCCACTTCCTGTCCCTGAAATAACAATCTATTTTGTGATTCCAGTTAAATAGTATATACTTTTTTCCATTTGACTTATTATTATACATATTTTGTTTCTTGTGTTTATATTATGTCTGTCTATAAGTCTGCAGAAATTAAATCCTAGCTAGCTTGCCCATAAGTTTTAAGTGGGATGGGCTATACAAATAGCTTCCAAATTTTATAGGTTTATTTCTTGTGACAATTTAATAAGACCTTTTATTTGGGTACCATTAATTTTTACCTCTGATCGCTTGACATAGGATACAAATTTTTACAAGAAAAATACAAAACTTTAAACTCTGCCTAAATTTTGATCAGTAGGTGCTAGGGCTTTCATACTTATCATGACATATGTATTTATTGTGAACTGTCAACAGGTATAAATATGTTTGACCTTGACCCTAGAGTTTGAACCACTTAAACAAAAAAATTAACCTTGGCAATTAACTTTTGAACAGGAATTACTAGGGATTGCTTTATTTCACATGTGCATTCCTTGTGACAAAACTTTCTTCTGATACTAACAGTTTGAACCCTTTGACCTTGACCTTTGAGTTTGACATATATTTGAGAAACTTCAACCTTCGCCATAGGCTTCCATACTGGGACATCAGTGTTTCACAAACACATCTTATCTTCATTATTTTTTGGTGGTGTCTCCATATGAGGGAAGATGTATTCACAACAAACAAACAAACTACTAAAGAAAATATAAAACATAAATACTGTATGTTGGTCATGCATATCTCTGCATGAAAAAAACAGCTTTTCAAATACTCCAACCATATTGTAACCCTTTCAAAACACTCATTTGAGCTTTTTTGGTTTCCTTAGCATATAATGTCTGTCGTGACGTGTTGTCCATCTGTTTGTCTGAAAACTTTTTTTACATTTTTAACTTCTCTAGAACCACTGGGCCAATTTTACCCAATTCATATAGAAATATGTACATTTGTATGTCAGACTCAGTCCATCTGTCTCAATAAATTTAACCTTGGTCATCACGGTCATATCTACTGAATGAGAAGAGACATTCATATTAAACTTATGTATTAGTATTTACCTGTGAGAATGGCATGTTTTTTTTTTTACATGTGACCTAGAAGTTTGACCAACTTGCAAAAAAATTAAATTGTTATAAATTCATCATTTTGAAAGAGAAAAGTTAGGGCATTCATATCATAATGCATGTATATTATTACCTGTGATAAGACCTTTCCAAATAAATCATGACTTTTACACTGTGACCTTGACCTTGAAGCGATCAAGCCTAACCTACTTTTCAAAAATGTTGCATTTGCTTATAACTTTTGATTGAGATGAGTTATGACTCTCACATTTGACATGTACATAAATTACTCATAAGAATTCAAGGTGTTTCCCAGCATGCGATGTTTTTTTTACCCCTTGACGTTGATGTTTTACATAATTTTCAAAATATTTAAATCTCCTAAAGATGATTAGGCTTCTGAGTAACATAAAGGAAGACTTCAAGGAATACAGGGCTTTTTGCACAAAAAACGTCATTTTTCGACCCACATTTGACCCCCCGGGGCAAAATCTAAATTCCGAAACCTTACTGCACATCTACATGACCCCACCAACCATCTCCCAAAAGATGATAAGGTTGCTGAGTAAAAAGTAAGAGGAGTTCAGGGAAAACAGGGCTCTTTGTATGAAAAACGTTTTTTTTCGACCCGTATTTGATCCCCTTGGGCAAAATCTAAACTCCGAAACCTTAGTGCACATGTACATGACACCAACAACCATCTCCCAAAAGGTGATTAAGCTGCTGAGTAAAATGAAAGAGGAGTTCAGAGAAGACGGGGCTTTTAGCATAACATCATATATGGACCCACATTTGACCCCCTGGGGCAAAATCAAAATTCCGAAACCTTACTGCACATGTACATGACACCACCAACCATCTCCCAAAAGGTGATTAGGCTGCTGAGTAAAATATACGAGGACTTCAGGGAAGACGGGGCTTTTTGCATAAAAAACGTTATTTTTCGACCCCCATTTGACCCCCTGGGGCAAAATCAAAATTCCGAAACCTTACTGCACATGTACATGACACCACCAACCATCTCCCAAAAGGTGATTAGGCTGCTGAGTAAAATGAAAGAGGGGTTCAGAGAAGACAGGTCTTTTAGCATAAAAAACATCATTTTTCGACCCCCATTTGACCCCCCGGGGCAAAATCAAAATTTCGAAACCTTACTGCACATCTACCTGACACCACTAATCATCCCACAAAAGATGATCAGGCTGCTAAGTAAAATGTAATAGGAGTTCAGGGAAGATGGGGCTTTTTGCATAAAAAACGTCATTTTTCGACCCCCATTTGACCCCCCGGGGCAAAATCAAAATTCCGAAACCTTACTGCACATCTACATGACACCACCAATCATCCCCCAAAAGGTGATTTGGCTGCTGAGTAAAATGTAGAAGGAGTTCAGGGAAGACGGGACTTTTTGCACAAAAAACGTCATTTTTCGACCCCCATTTGACCCCCCCCCCCCGGGGCAAAATCAAAATTCCGAAACCTTACTGCACATCTACATGACACCACCAACCATCTCTTAAAAGATGATTAAGCTACTGTGTAAAATGTTGGAGGAGTTCAGGGAAGAAAAGTGTGACAGACGGACGGACGGACGGACGGACATGAGTAACAACAATATACCCGAACTTTCTTTAGAAAGTGCGGGTATAATAACTATGGGGCATGGGGTAAAAGTTTAATGATTTCTCATACTTATGTGTCGCATAAGAGAGAGAGAGAGAAGTGATCTGGAATTCGGTTTGGTCATTCATTTACATGCCACGTATGAACATTAATGGCGTCCACAAAAAAGAAAGGAAGCGTTTGTTTTCGTGATTTTAATATCGATTTTTTTCAATTTTATTTAGTGCTTAAGTTAATCCACATCACCTTTTCCCTCCACACTTTTATATTTCTTATGATTTTTATTCTTTCACGGAATTCATAAAACAAAGATTACTATTTTCATCTATAAAGCGAAAATTTAGAGTTTTAGGCTAAATCAAACAAAATAAAAATCATTCTGAACCAAAACCGATCCGAAAAGATTGTGCTCTGAATCTCCTTAGCTAGGCCTAACAGATGAAAAAACATGTACCAGTTCAATTGTTTGTCTTTGAGATTGTACATGCATACCATCCATAACCCAAAAGTCTGTCTTAACACAAATTTATGCATAATAGAATAAAATTTATAATCATTTTCAGTAATTAAAAATGATGCATAAGCCATTTTTACAATTTTTCAAAGAGATCTGCTCTAATAAGCTTAATCTGATAGGACGATACATTGATCTAGATTGAAACCCAAATAAACGCCCCGGGACTTATATTTGATATAAAGTCACACCGTGTACACCTAAGGACAGAGGAAAACAACAAAATTCCTGATAGTTTCATATTCTAATTTAACATTTTAAGCACGCACACGTTAACTTACGAAAAAGGTCATTTAAAATCTGTAAAATAAAATTTATTATTTAAAAATATAAATATGTTTCAGTGGAAGAAATTCATTTAAATCGGAATGTTAAGCTATGTTACACCACTTAATGAAGAAGAAATCATACCATTGTCCTTTCTCGAGCATGATAAAATATTATAGATATTTTCCAAAAAGACTTCTTTTTAGAAACAACTTATCATTCCGAATAATCATGAAGTAGTTTTCAGTTTTGCAAATTTAATTCTTTACAGGCTCTAACTACCATGAAAACATAGAATCAAAGAAATTAAATAAATAAAACTTTTCGACGATAAAAGTGTAAAAATTGCTATTAAAGAGAATTTAATCGAAAGAAATAAATGAAAATGTTCACATCATGATTTCCAATAATCAATAACTGAAAAGAGACAAACCAAGTAGGTCCATAAATTTTACAACAGAACAATATTTTTTACCTGCTTTCTTGGAAGATTTTCTGAGAAAGCATGTAAAAATATTAGAACAATATAGATTGAACAATCTATAATATTTATTTTCTGGTAAAAATGTACACAATATTTGGAACACTATTGTGAAGGTTTTTTTTAGAAAGACATTTTAATTGAAATTTATCATGTATATGATTACGGCAAATGTACGAGATACTACAAATCTCCGTTTGAACAGTTAGAACTAAAACATACATAACTTAAATCATGTCTTTCTTTAAGAAGGTGGATATGTCTTTCGATGAATCGGCTGTATTTGTTGTACCCTTCTTCTTTCTAGAAGGATATAGTTTTTATAACAAAAATTCATGAATAACTTTCGTTTATGTATAATGTACAGGCTTTTTAATTTCAGAATATGAAACAGTTAAATGGTTCATTACCTTACAAACACGAAAAGAAGTACAACAAAAAAGAGAATATAAACGAGGCTCGGGCATCTAAAACCATCATCTGAAAGACGACAAAGCAATCGTTAAGATAAACGCTATCATGTTTTCAGCTACTACCCTTGTAAAGTGTTGGTAACAAGAGTAACTCAACGTTATTAACTTTCCCCAGAACAAAAGAAATCAACATAGCTTTTTCATAAAAACTGGACATAGGTAGTCAATCATATACACTTGTAATGTTTCAGAGTCAAATCTAGGTGCTTCTATATTATACTCAGCAGAAAAAAAGTTTTTTGTGGAATGTATAATACTTCGATCGTATGTGTATATACATTGAATGATCTATAAAATTTGTACCATTGAGGCATCGATCTCCCGAGAATCCCGTTAGACATCCATCAAAGCATGTCCCCGTAAATCGGTCACAAACACTTGGCGTAGAACATGTTTTACTACAAACACTTGTGCAGTTGAACCCATAATAACCCAATGGGCATTCTGTTAAGATTTCAGAACTTCGAAATACATATTGACACAATAACGAGAAAATGTGAAGTATCATGAAGGAATTATTGTCGTAACAGGGTAGTTCACGATATTTAAGAATTCAGATATTGAATTTCATTGTTTTATAAAATTATATTGTTTTTATGCCCGTAAATTTAAAGTTGGGAATGTTTTTTGCACTTTCTGTCCGACCGTTTTATTCACTGGTTTATTTAGAGACACAAGCCATTTCTTTGGAAAATAATACCATGGTATATACGGACTCTGTATCTTGATTCTGGGGCTTAACTAACATATGAGGAATTTTTCTTTTGCCATGTGCTGCACATACGGGCGTATCAGTATTTCACAATTACATTGTGTTTCGTCTAGATTTGTCCCATTTAAAACCATAAAGGAAGATTTTGTGTTTAAGGAATCTATGATGATATCTGAATTTCCCGCTTGAGGAAAAAGAAGAGAATGTGCAGATCGGAACAGGGGGATGTCGATTGGGTACTTTAAGAAAGGAAGACTGGACCATAGGAATATGTGGTCTAAAATTTTATTGCAAAAGCTCAATTGCCCGAAAATGGAAGTTTTGCACACATAGAATGTATAATATAAGGCCTTGACAATTGACTTCAAAAAGGGTCTCTTTTGAGCCTTAGAAAGTTGTGGTGTAAGATGTCATCGCAAAAAGCTCAAAACTTCTGGGGGATCTCAAATTAGCGAATGACCTAAAGTAAAACTAAATTATTTTTTTCTAACAGGAATGTCAATACTGAGTTTATCATGCTTCTCATACTATTTAGTTTTAAGTTTGACTTTGCCATCTTTGGTCAGTTAAAGATCTTAATAAAAACGTATACTTCAAAGTGATGACGAACTGTGAATTTATTCTATGTTTGTCCTTTTTCCACTTTTAGCGTGTAATAATAATACAGATATTTATTCCTTGTTCTATACTAGTTGATTTAAGTTTTGCTTACTTTTTCCTGCTAAAAATTAAGAATATTTTTCAAACTTGAATTAATATGAATAAGAAAAAGGTACCAGAAATATAAAAGCTATCAATTTTATAAATTAACTTAAGTCGAATTAATTATTAATTCATAGCATTTTTACGATCAATTCAGTTCTTACCCGTTATACATTTATCCCCATAGAATCCTTTCGAGCATCCATTCACGCAGATTCCAGTCATGCTATCACATGGCAGAAGAATGTAATGATGCTATTAAAGCTCGCAAAAAAGCAGAAAGACAATTTAATAGATTACCAACATCTCTAAATTTAAGCAATTTCCGTATATTTAGAGCAAAAGCTCGGAGAACTATAAATTTTAATAAACGAAAATCTTGGAAAGAGTTCGTGTCCAACATTAATTCACATACTCCTATCAATAAGGTTTGGAACGCAATAAGGAAAATTAAGGGAAAAGGTCCTGAAAAATATCAGCATCTGAAGGTTGGAAATCAAATTATTACGGATAAAAAACAAATATCCAATGAAATAGCTAGTACAATTCATAAAAATTCCTCCACAAAAAATGTGAGCCCTAAATTTAGTAAACATAAAACATCTCAAGAAAATAAAACATTAAATTTTACATCTGAAAACAATGAATGTTATAATCAGCCATTTACTATTGACGAACTTCAAAAATCCTTAGAAAAGTCTCATGATACAGCTGTAGGACCAGATCAGATTCATTACCAAATAATCATACACCTTCCTATAAACAGCAAAGAGTGTCTTTTAAAAATTTTTAATAAAATTTGGGAGCGAGGTCAATTTCCACCTTCCTGGACCCAGGCTACTATTATTCCTATTCCAAAACCTGGAAAGAATCATACGGATCCAAATAATTATCGACCAATTGCTTTAACAAGCTGCTTATGTAAAACCATGGAAAGGATGATTAATGAACGCCTCATATGGTTTCTTGAAACCAATAATATTCTATCTAATATACAATGTGGTTTTAGAAAAAACCGAAGCAGAATTGACCAGTTGGTAAGACTGGAAACCTATATTCAAGATGCTTTTATCAAAAAAGAGCATGTTGTATCTGTGTTTTTTGATTTGGAAAAAGCATATGATACTACATGGAGACATGGCATTTTAGAAGATCTTGACAATATGGGCCTAAAAGGGCATTTACCAATTTTTGTTAAGAATTTTTTAAATGATAGACATTTTAAAGTCCGCTTGGGGTCTACTTATTCGGAAAGCTTTGAACAGGAAATGGGTGTACCACAAGGCAGTATTTTATCAGTCACTTTATTTAATATGAAAATTAACAGCTTAGCTGAAGTACTGAAAAATGATATGCATGGAAGTTTATATGTGGATGATTTTGTTCTTTGTTATAAAGCTAAAAACATGAATTATATTGAACGAAAATTACAGTCTTGCCTAAATAAAATTCAAGACTGGGCTGATACAAATGGATTCAAGTTTTCAAAAAGTCCCACCGCCTGTGTGCATTTCTGCTCTAAACGGAAGGCTCATGACAAACCACATTTACTACTAGATGGAAATCCTATAAAAGTTGCTAAGGAGATAAAATTTTTAGGTATAATTTTTGATAGTAAACTTTCATTTGTATCACATATTAAAATGCTAAAAGAAAAATGCACAAAGGCCTTAGATGTTATTAAAGTAGTTGCAAATACTAAATGGGGGGCAGATAAAGATACTCTTTTAAAACTATATCGTTCTTTAGTTAGATCCAAGTTAGATTATGGCTGTATTGTGTATGGCTCTGCAAGAACTTCATACGTAAAAGCTCTTGATGCAATACACCAGCAAGGCCTCCGACTGTGCTTGGGAGCTTTTCGAACTTCTCCTAAAGACAGTCTATATGTTGAGGCAAACGAACCGCCTCTCGGCTTACGAAGAATTAAACTTACTTTGCAGTATATTTTGAAATTAAAAGCAAATGTTAATAATCCCGCTTATAATTGTGTTTTTCATCCGCAGTACGAAGACTTGTATCATAAGAGAAAATCATGTGTAAAACCCCTTGGTCTAAGATCTAAAAAACATATAAGAGATTCTGAATTACCTTTGGATATTATAAAACCTTCTAATTTTTCGGAAATACCGCCATGGCAATTAATAAATCCAACCGTAGATTTATCTTTAACTGAATTTAAGAAATCGAAAACAAATTGTCTTGTTTTTAAACAAAAATATGCCGAAATAAAACATTCTTATGGTTCAACAGTTGAGGTGTATACAGATGGTTCAAAGGATAAAAATAAAGTAGCATCAGCTGCCGTGATGGAAGACAGTATTTTCTCTACACGGCTCCCAAATGAAGCAACAATCTTTACCGCCGAAGCAAAGGCCATTCAACTTGCATTTGAATATATAAAATCTTCTAGTGGAAAAATATTCACAATATTTTCGGACTCGCTCTCTTGCTTACAATCTATACAAAATAAGAATATTGATCAACCTTACATTTTAGATATTTTAATTCAATATTATCATTTGGCGCAACAAGGTAAAACAGTAATTTTTTGTTGGATTCCGAGTCATGTCGGAATCCCTGGAAATACTAGAGCTGACAGTGCTGCCAAAAATGCACTTCAACATCAAATTACTTTATTCAAAATTCCTTACACCGATTTGAAATATCTCGTTAAAATTTATGTTAATTCTCTTTGGCAAATTTATTGGAATTTTTGTGACGAAAGTAAGCTTTACGCTATTGAAAACAAAGTTAACAAATCACTTCACTTCGGTCTGAAACGTCAGGACGAAGTAATTATATCAAGAATACGTATTTGGCATTCAAAAATTACACATGAATATTTATTGAATCGGGAGTCACAGCCAGAATGTATATCCTGCGACTGTCCAATAACTATAAATCACATACTTTTAGAATGTTCCGCTTTTACATCTATTCGAAGTAGACTTTTTGGAAGTATAAAAACAATGTATGAACTTTTTACAAATGTTCATGTTTACAAAATTTTAGAATATCTACAAGAAACGGATTATTATAGTAAAATTTGAATAAAATCTTGAAAGTAATTTTAATTAGAAATGCATTAGCATATATGAATTTATTTTATCAACAGTTTATACACTATTTTTAACAGTTTATATATTTTTAAAAATATTTAAGTCCGTCGGACGGGACGTTAAATGGTGCCCCGTGTCAAGGATGACAACCCCCTTGGCACGCAAAAGATCGTTTCTCTGGAGTTCGAAAAAGAGTAGGCTCATTGGGGGCCGCCAGAGAAACCAAAAACTTTATTTATCCATTAACCTTATAGTCCTCCGAAATATGGCTGAAAAATTGCCGACTCGGCGTTAAACAATATAAAATCAATCAATCACATGGCTTTTTATCTTTGCAGAAACCACAAGGTTCTCTACAGTTGCGTCCGTATATTTACCGGGTCTACAAACTATAAACGGATTTTGCATATACCAGGAAGCTTATTAATTGGCGAAAGTTTTCATAATATACAAAAAAGATATAAACAGCAGCAATTTGCTATTTTTTTTTTAAAGGGTGAATAATATTTACTAAGGTGATGATCGCAAAATATTTACACACAGTACAAATCTGTGAAAAGGGAAGTTTCAGATGTGTTTAAAAGAAACACTGGAAATAATAAAATCTTAATATTGCTCTTCATCAATAAGTTCTTGCCTGCAAAATTTCTTTTGAAATGGAAATAAGATACAATGTACAGTATTGAAGACAAGGTGTTACTTCTCGCTCATCAGTGGAATATTTCTGGTAGAATGGTAGGGTTGTTAAAATAGTTCGTGGACACATTGAATTGCGGAAAATATATTGTGTACTGTGAAGTATTACCTATGTCTGAATAAATTCCTACATTTTGTTTATTAGTATGTAAAAATTCAGGTCCATTTACTTAAAGCTTGAAAATTTACAACGATTTTTACTATGAGCTTATGGGATTCACGGAGCAATCACTTGAGGTAAGGTGACGTGACAACCAGATTTCAACCCGTTAAACTTTGTCCAGTTCTTTGAATCTTTCATTTCTACAGGTTTTTCTTATCTTTTTTCTATTTCTAAATTGAATATCTATATCAAGACATGTTATTTTTCTATTATAATGTCTTTTGTACTGCTTCGGATTGTACTGATTCGGATATTATTGAGATCTTATAAATGGAATGGAAACTATGCAAAACCATATAGGCACAACGTCCATGAGATAAGGGGGTAGTGAAGTATCGATGGAGTTAATCATATAAAATGTTAATCCTTCCATTCTTATACAGCTACAACCATTTGAAAACTTTGTCCTTTGTATGTGTAGAAAATTCCCGGCAGCATCTTAAACATTTTAATGTCTTTGGACATTTTTCTGTCCGCACACATAATTTTTATATAGTGCGGTGCTCCAAGACGAATGATGACGTTCCGATTTTATGCTCTGTTTTTACGCGTTGATCATTTATAAATGGCTATAAAACAGTCTTATACCCCCCAATTTTATTCGAAATTTCTCTCAGTGACGTTTCATAAATACTTTAGCGAGAGGTAAAGTACCATAAATCTCTTTGCGCTACAATTGTGCAGTTTTTAATTTTGATAAAGATTCTTTGTGATGTGAACGTGCCAAAATGTAGCATGCTCCGTGAAGCAAGTTTTATCAAAATAAAAAGCTGTTTATTTCTCAATAATCATTGTAGAGCACCAAATCTTTGTATATTTACTGGAAAATAGTTTGAGTTTATCCGGGAAGTTTGACCGGCTTTGTGGAAATAGCGCGCTCACACTAGAACTAGTCTGCTAACTTTTGTAACACCCGTCGTACATGTATTTTTTTTTTTAAATCTGATGACGGACACTGCTATTCCTGTAGACAAGATATGATTAACTTAGTGAAACACTTATGTCCCATTACCAATGAAATACATACCACAAAAATGAACGAAGACTGCAGAAACATGCAGAGGCAAAACTTTTTAATAGATTGTTCGATTGTATCCAAAAATAACCTTGACGTAAATATTTTATCGTAATTTGTATACAAAATTTAATTTCAGTATGTGCAATCTCTGCCAAAAAAGGAACGAAAAATGCAAATCATTGGAATTTTTCTAGGTACAAGGAGCTTAACTCTTATAAAAACTGCTCGATCGTACCAAAAACAATAATTGACCTAGATATTTTTATGATTAATCTGTATAATAAATGTTATTA